GCATCTACGCTCTACGATATGAGATGTGTGACGACATGGCAAGATCATCAGATCTTACTGATAGAGATCCTCGAAGAAAAATGTGGAACTTTCTCTCTCCTATCGCTTTGTTTGCGTCTAAGGGGAATAAAAACGGTAAAAATGAGCTTGTTCCTGTGGCCATTCAAATGGATTATAAACCAGGTAAAATGCTAAATACATGTGACTGACTGAAAATGTCCAATTCACTTAACTAAGTGTAATGGGTAGTTATCTGCCAAAAATTTTCTTCAATACGGGGAAGGGATACGTTAACAGTATTTTACATCAGTTTTAAAATTATTTCCCCAAATGTAGTTGAAATTGCCGCGCATGCGTGTGTACTACGTAATACAAGATGGGTTTGGCTCAGTGATCAGAGGCCAGAAGAGCTACCAGCTATACCTGTTCAGTTTTCGGAAAGCTTCCTAGCAATTCCTATTATCTATCACTTTTGTACAGGAAACTCAAACATCAGTCTCTAAACCTGATTTCACTGTAAACAATATCACTTATTCAATCTCTTCCAATAGTTTTTTTTTTACCATGTTGTTCTAGTTTTCAAGGACCAGTCAGTGAATGTCCGTCGAAAAACGGATAAAAATTAGACTTGTGAATCTGGAAAGAGTAACTTCGGAAAATAAAAAAAATAAAATACATTAAAAAAAAAAAAAAAATATAAACTTCCCCATGGCCGTTAAAAATTTAAAAAGGCTTAGAAAATATACAAGTCAATCAAGTAGATTAATTAACAAACTACATAATCGTAATACGTCAAATTGCATCTAAAATTTTCGGGAAAATAATTCTCAAGCGCTTGTAATTTCGAAAAGGCTCAAGTTGCCCTAGGATGACAAAACAGAAATTTTATAGCGCTGCTTAGAATGCATTTCTAAAAGTACTCTGCACAGCCTAAAAAGTGTTTTCAATGCATTTAGGAGGAAACCGCCGTTAAGTGCCCTTGTGCTGTGCTTCTTCCCCTTCCATCAAGTATTTTTTGATGCTATCGGGTATATTATTGGCTCAGAAAATGTAGTACTCTAACTATTTCTATTTATTCGAAAGCCATGTTTGACAGCTTGTTTGCCTACAAATTAAAAAATGTTTATGTCTCTCAGTCACTGAAGGAGTTTTGTTAGTTTGCTTACAAGGGCACTGACTCCTCTTCACCAATTCAGCTTTAACATATGTTATTCGGCAGGAAAGGGCTGTGGGCAAGGTCCAAATTATTGATCAAAAGAATATCACGAGATAAATTGGACAATTACTAGCCGGAAAATCACTAGCTGGGATGTTACTTGCCCGAATATTACTACAGCTGTAAAACTACTAGTCACGAGCAAAAGAGGAGCTAGCTCGCTCGCTCTTGTCACGAGTTTGTCTGGAAAAGTACTTAAAAAGAAAAAAAGGTTTAAAGGCTTGTTTATATTGGAAAGTGCACTTAGCTTATCCAGCTAGTTTACAGGTACTCCACTCAAATACTTAAAAAACAAATAATTTAAACATAACATAACAGGATTAAAAACCCTAACTGGCGGGAGACAACCAGTTGGCTATTAATAAGCGTGGCTCCGAGGATTTGAATTTGGGAGGACCGAGAACAAATCCAGCAAGTGGCTAGAGGCCCGGACTCGAACCTGGGACCGCGACATTACGAGTCCAACGCGTTGACCACTCGGCCACGCTGCCTCCTTGTAGCCTCGACTTCATTTAAGGTTAGGGTATATATATGAGACAAGCTGTGTTCCTCAAAGTCGTCCTCTTGGTCTCCAGACTTAACACGCCCTGCGAATTTGACCCTCCTCCTCCCTTCCTCCGCCTCTTTAATTCTTAATGGTACTTTCATCTTACTTTGGGTGCCTTTTTCTCGTGCCTTCAACTTTGCCATCTTACGTGGCCAAAGTTTTACCCAAATATTTCGTTGTTGCTCATTTCTTTAAGCGCTCTTGCAAACAAATCTTGAGCGGATGACCCCGAAATTTAGGGTATAAAAACAAGCGGGTAAGGAGGCACAATTACCATATCTTATACGAAAGCTTTTTTCCCGTGCTTTCAGACGACGAGGACTGCAGTGTCAAGACCACAAAAGGTGAATGGTGCCATTTTCCATTTACCTATTATGGAAGGAAATATACGAAGTGCACTAAAGATGATCACATTGGACCGTGGTGCTCAACTACAAAAAACTACAGAGGCAAATGGGGAAATTGCAAAGGTAAACCCTCGCGGAAGACGCATGTCTTTTCCCTAGGTTTGCGCTAAAACATGGTTCTCCATTTACTTTTTTGCTAATCTACCTAAACTTTTCACATATTAGCTAAAAATGAGGTGACGTTGTGACTTTGCTGATACTTAACTTCTAAACAAGTCCCCTTAAACAGTGTCTAAGAGAATCGTCCCTATTTAATTAGTACAGTCAGTGATGGGAAAAATCTGCCAACCTGCAGATCGATTTCACTTTCGTTATCAGTGGCTATACAAATTTCTGCGAACATAAAAAAAAAACGTTTTTACTAGTGAAAAGAGTTCAATTGCCACTTGGATTATTTTTGACACCCGATTTACTTGGTTCTATTTTTGGTGAGCTAAGTAAAATGTAAGGAAATGAAATTAAATGAAATAAAACAAATTAAAAATTAAACCGTTATCCGTAAATTAGCCATCACCTCATTGAGGTAAAGACACTCTTCAACTGATTTTGGTTTTGTTCTTTGCAGGGAAAGAAGAGAAGAGAGAAGAACAGCGTGGTAGGTACACTGAACGATTGCGAACGATCCAAAAAAAAATTAACTTAAATTCTGACACTCGCGCCAAAACCTGATGGCTCATTCTTGGAGTTCCAGGAGCAATTTGAACTTGCCAGGATCTACCAAGTTACCAAGGCCGGAATTCTTACCTAAACAGATTTGTATTCCTTGCTCGTGATAGATCTATTCACTTCATCGTTTAATTTTATCACAACGATTGTATTAAAATCGTGTTGAGTTATTAAAAATACATAAAAGCATTGAAGATACTGCTGATACTTCAGCCTTGGCGATTCAACTAGTCTGCATAGTTCACTGAATTGTACAAACTTCGCTTCAGCTTCACTTTTTTGACATTTATCTGCCACCTCATAGATCAATTCTAATGGAAAACACTCGGACGCAGTTACTAATCTTCGCTTTACTAGTTTAAAAGCAAATTAAAAAAAAAAAAAACATTACATTACCTTACAAATGTCTTTTCCGTATTAGGACAAATAGGACTTGACTGGAGGGAACTAAAGGCAACATTGAATCCCACCTTTGAATGGAAAAAAGCGGTGCAAGCAGCTCTGGATACAGAAGACTCTTTAGAATCAGTATGGATATATATAGTCCTAACACTTTGAGATAAAAATTTTCAGTCAAACTACACTGAATGTATCGCTAATACTATTTTAATGGATCTGATAGCAATTTCATTTTCTCACTGGATGGAAAGGTTCTGATGAAATTAAAATGAATAACTAAATAACGTTATGACGACAAGAAATGTGTGAATGACCGCTCATTGATCGTCTAAGGTGCGGAAAAACGGGCAACAAAAAATGAAACTTGTCATGCAACAATGCTGCAAAAGGAGTTGAATAGCGATGTTGAGCGTTTTACCAACCCTATCAAACCTGTCTTACAACAAATCAGGTTTTCAGAACAAGTTTGAACGTAGGTGGTAAAACCGGCGTGCAACATGGCTTTTTAAATTGTTCTGCAGCAATGTTGCAAAACAATTCCACGTTTTTGTTGCCCGTTTTACCGAAGCTTATTATAAGCAATACCACGCAAAACGAAATTATTAATAATGCTTGTAGACAATTAATA